AAAAAAACAACCAAAAAAAGAAATACAATATGATATAAGAATATTCTTATTACCTGGTGCCATTTTATTAGTAAGTGTACCAGCAACAATCATGAGATCACATTGACGTGGACTAGCACGAAAGACAACACCAAAACGATCCATATCATAACTAATAATTGATTAAATAGTAAAAAAAAAAAAGAAAATTATATATATAATATAATAAAATAAAATAGAAATTTACCGAGGAGCAGCCATTTGCATCATTTCAACAGCACAACAAGCAAGACCAAATGTTAATGGCCAAATCGAACCACGTCGAATTAAATTTTGTACATCATCCAAACGAGCTAATGCTACTTCAACTTTACTATCACCATAATATTTACCGGGTGCAGTTTTATATGGTGATAAATTTGTTACAACATTTTGTTCTTGTTCCTTTTCAATAGGTGTATATGTCGTATGTTCAATATCTTTTGATGGAACAGTAGCTGATGATGTCGTAGCTCCTCGACTAGACAATATTGATGGAAGAGTTAATCGAGATAGTGGTAAAGAATAACGGAAAAGAGCCATTTAAAATTGTCTAAATAAAAAATTGAAAGAAATATAATTAAAAGTTTTAGAATTATCGATTTCTCAATATACTCAAGTGCAAATTCGTAATGATCAACAAGATTCAGTCTTTGTAATATATATTTCTTTTCCATAGAATATCATCTTTTTTGTTGATTCACCGAACTATTTTTTTTTTAGTAGATGTCATTAATTGCTGATAAAAAAAACATTTTATCTGAATATAAACTCATATAGCTTATTTGAAGTTTTCAATATAATTCTCAAAATATAAAATATAGTTTATTAAATCTAGGATTGAAATATTTGGTTTTTTTTTCGCTCAAAATATATTGAATAAATTTAGTTATTTGAAATATTATTTAATCAATGTTTTGATATAGAATAAAAACAAATAGTTAGAATTGTTACACGTTATTATCCCATGTAACATTCTATGATAAAGAGATAGTCTTTACAATTTATACATACATACACAAATCTCAACAGATAACAAGGATGCAACTTATATTACTGAATACTATATTTATTGTATTGATTTCTGTATGTTATAGTGATTTAAATATTACTCGTAAGTAATTTTTCATTTCTGATTTAAAATAAATATATATTTCTTTATAATGTGTAGAATTGTCTATTGTTACATGCGAAAAATGTTCTCCTTGTTGGAATATTTTCAGTAAAAATTATGGTCCATGTTCTAATGAAGAATTCGAAATGAATCCATTTAATGATGTACAACCAATGTGTATTGATACACTCATTTTACTTATTATAATGTTTCTTGGTATTGTTATTCTTATACCAACTTGTCTTTGGCTATTTTCTTTATGGATAAAACGTTGTCGAAATATTAACGCAAAATATATTGTTAATGGACGTATAATTACTTGATGAAAATATTTAATGAAATGTTTAATATATAAAACTTTTATCTTTATTTCACGTTTTCTTTTAAATGTTCGAATTTATTCATTTATAAAAGATAAGAATTTTATATTATTTCCGCAGAATATCATGAGATTAAATAAAAGGATAAAAAAATTTTCTGAGTTGATAAATTCTATTAATTAATAGTAATTATAATTTTAAAATGGAATTAAAGCTTTCGTTGATATTTTTGTTGTTGAATCTTGTACGAATTCTTACCATTCTATTGATTTTTTTTGAAGATCATTTTCTGTAACTTTTGTCTTCAGCAATTGCAAATAATTTTCATATTCTTTGATCTGTTAAAAACACATTGGATCTACGATTTAATTGTGACACATGGTTTTTCTTCAGCATCAGTTATATTTGATAATTGTTTCAAAAGTAATACAGTAGTTCGATCTTTGGTTGTCAAACAAAGTAATTTTGAGATAGAAAAGAATTATAAATTAAATTCATATCGTCGAATAAATATGTTCGATCGGAATAGTTTATTTCATTCATATATAGCATAATGGAAAAATTCATTGAATGAACAAATATAATACAAAGCAAAAAAATTGTTATTATGTATAAAATAATTCTATCTAAATATATATTTTTCTGAATGAATCTATTTTTCAATATTTTCAAAGGTAATATATATGAATCAGACGTAGTAAACAAACCTTTTTCTTTTCTATAGGCAACATTTCAACAAACAATATTATCATCAACTTCATCCTTTCATGCCTTATGGCATCTATATTTATCGTAGATATCGAAACAGTAGTTCAATCTTTAATGCGAAAACTTTTTTGCAATCGTTCACATAAATACATTTAGTCACACCTCGAAAAGATCAAATTAGAGAAAGAGATGACTTTCTACAGGTTCGAGTAGTTATATATTTCATTTTCCTCTAAACTTTCTGTTCTGAACAACATTACATACATTATGTCGTACGAGATCTACCTCGACATTCTTCGAATGATGTTTTCAAATGAAAAATCAGATCTGATTTAACATTTTTCTGTGTATATTAGAGATCACTTGTTTGATGTTTCTGACAGAATTTTGGTTCTAGACCTTCAAATTTAGTCAGAGACAAGAATGAGTTTTAGGAATCATTTTTTTTCATACATTATCCTATTGTCGAAAATAATAACTATCAAAAATAAATAAGAGT